CCCTCTGATCACCCCTGCAGAAATGCAAATGGGGGGAGAATTTGGTCCATTCTGACAGGGACCAGCACCAAAGTGCTGGGGCCCATTGGGAAGTGCTGCACACCCCGGCAAACCCCTCAACAGGGGGCTAAGCTGCCCATGGCAAGGGGGTTGGAACTGGATGATCTTAAGGTCCTTTCCAGCCCTACCTATGCTATGATTCTATGACTCACCTTCCTTACAATATTCAGAGGCTTCCTTTCCCTTTGTCTTCTTTCCTTCATAGCTGCTGCCTGAGTTTGCTTTTGTTTTGACCACAGTAAGGGACAACAAGGCTTGACAGGCTGGGATTGATGGTGCCATTGGGAGCCTGGCAGCCAAACAGCCAAGCAGAGCAGCTGGCAGTGGCAGTTTTTCAGCATCTGTCATCATGATGGAGTGCCCAGGAAAGGACCCTGCTCCCGCAGCACTGTCAGGATAGCAAACACTGGACATGGGCTCTGCTGCTGGTGGATGCTAGCCCCTAGGCTCAGCCCTGAGAAGCGATTGTTTCTGGGCTCCCATGGGAGCTGGGCAGATCCCAAACAAGAGATTCATCTTCACACCTTGTCAGCAGCTAAAGGGAAGGATGATCAAGGTCCAGAGGGTCTGAATACACCACACTTAGTGTGAAGAGCACAGCCTCGGGTAGGGGATGGGGTAAGGACCACTGCTATTACTTCACTCCAGGCTCTCTTCTGGTAGTTTCAGTCTGAAAGGTACCTGGTCTGGGTTGGGCTGTGCTGTGAGGATGGGCAGGAGGAACGTGTCTGGGGCAGAAAAGTAACAAAAGGCTCATCCTCCTCACTCAAAAAGCTTTTGTTCAGAATACAACCACATTCCAGCCACTTTGGCACGAGGCATCTGAGCTGGGCATTGCACCACAGGTACCCTTATCAGCGGTGGTACCCATCCTGGTGGTACCCATGGTGGTGGTACCCATACTGGTGGTACCCATGCTGGAGACACCCCAGCTGCCAGTGTGCCTACTTGGGTGGCAGCAAAGAGCCACATCCAGACCTGGGCTCCTCACCATCAGCACTCCCCATCTCCTGGCATCTAGAAAGAACTTACTGAGGGGCAATCAATCATGGGCATTGTGTGTCTGGGAACAAAGTTCCACCCCGCTGTGCCTTCTCCATCACAAGTAATAAACCTGTAATTTCATAAGAAAGTTAATCAAATAGACAGGTTTGGGGTTTACACCTCCAGAACTCATGTTCCCAGTCACAAACTTGGATAAATCATCTTTATTTCAATAAATCTAGAGCAATCACTTTCCACTACTAGAAAAATTCCAAATATTTCCCCTTGAGAAGGAGCCTATAATGTGCTGCATTCAATATCACCACGAAATGGAAAGCTAACATGCTTTAGGGGAGCTGAACTATTCCTATTAAGTAACATTTTCCACGTCTTGATTTCTCTTTCAGTATTTCCTCTGTCAATTAGCCAAAGCAATTTCCTCTGACTAATAAAGCAGTTGGTTAAGCCTATTTTCCAATCAAAACTCACTTAATTCCAGCAAATAAAGTTGAAAATAGAATAGTATTTAATATAGCCAGCCCTGCCACCCCCAGAAAACAGACAATGAAGGGGTTCTTTCAGCCCAGGTCCTCCCTGCTGAGGTTTTGCATCCGAGCAATAATCCCAGCCCACCAGAAGTAGGCAGACACTGTCTTAAGTGAATTCTACACCTGTTTAATGTCAACCATGAATAAATCCGCATTGCTTGACCTTGGAAGTGCTCAAGGCCAAGCTGGATGGGGCTTGGAGCAAGCTGCTCTAGTGGAAGGTGGCCTTTCCCATGGCAGAGGGTTGGAACTGGATGAGCTTTAAGGTCCCTTCAACCCAAACCATTGTGTGATTCTATGACTGTTGAATCAGGGGGTTACCTGGATGTTTTGGTTCTGCAGCATCCCCAGACCGCACACCGAGGTGTATGGCTCATGGCAAACGCTTCCCATCCTGCAGGACAGTCTGTGGAGTTTTAGAAAAGGATGTAAATGATGTTTCTAACCTGGAAACCCAAAGAAATACAAGGGAAGAATTATGGAGCTCACCTCCTTTCTGTGTCTAGGATTATCACCAGCCATTCGCACCGGCACCTCTGCTCCACCTCCTGCCAGGAGGGTGGATGTGGACTTGAAATGCTTCAGCCCTTCCCATTTGCACCTTAGGCTGGGTACCACTCTGTTCCAGGAGGCTTTGCAGCATCTTCTGGAGCACTCCGATCACACTGGAAGGTCAATTTAACCATCCGACATGTGCTCTTCTCATGAGTTATTGAAGGACGCTGCTATTGATTGCTGATGGTACCTTAGTAGAATTTCTTGCTTGATAGAAAACGGCAGAAAGGGGTTTTTTAAAAGGTAATTACTTAGTTTTCTTTCCCAGGGATGAATTCTAATTATTCTTTCAGTTTCACAGTGTATGGCAGGCACTCTGCTGGAAGAGCAGAAGGACACTGAAATAAAGGCTTTAATTTATCACACGTTATATATTAAGTTACCTTTCATGAATATTAAGTGGAGGAGCAGCTCCAGTTTTGAAAACAGGAGTTGGAATGATTAATTTTCCTATTGTTCACTATTTGACGATTTCATTTTCCCTCTCCATTGGAACAAAAGTCCAGCAGCGTTCCCAGCTCTCCCAGCAGAAATCCTTGCTCCGCGTCTCCGGGCACAGGTCCATGGGATGCATTCGGTGTCAGTATTCCACACGGCGCTTCGCCGCCTGCTGCCTTCCCTGGTGGCTCAAGAGAAGGCTTCAAAGGAAAACTTCAGACCAGGAATCTGACTTGCCATCGGAATCTTTTAACCTTGAAGACGTAACCCCACTGCTGTGTGCCTGAATGCCAACGAGGGCCGGGAGGAAACGGCACTGCAGAGGGAGTCAAAACAGGGGGAGAAGCAGGGCTTGGAGGAGCTCTCCATCAAGCCTCACAATCAGCCCTGGGGACACATAAATTTAATGAGGGTGGCAAATATAAGAGCTAAAACCCAGGAGAAGATAACAGGGACACATTGGTCCCAGCCTGGAATTCCAGTGCTGGGATAATGGTCTCAGAGACCGAAGGTAGAACAACGGGATGCAGCCAGAGCAAACCCTGGGACCACAGAGGAACCCACTGGAGACTCTGGCCCTTCTTTTTGAGGACAGTCACAGAATCATGGAATGGTTTAGGCTGGAAGGGACCTTAAAGCTCACCTAGTTCCAACCTCTTGCCATGGGAGGTTAGGATGCCTGTGCTATCACTAATTTATCATCTAATTCAACATGATCCTCTAATGCATTGCTAGCACAATGCCTGCGCTATCACTCACACCTTGGGAGCTTGTCCCATTTGCTGGCATTGCTGATTATATCCACCTCTGCAAACATGCTCTGATTTCCTTTTTCAAGTTTCAATCATAACATCACCGTGTCAGCAATGCTCCTGGATTTTATTGCCACAGCCACCTCATGGAGGCAGTTTTCACCGCTTCAGACAGATTTCCGTGGCATCACATTGGGTTTTTATTTGAAGGCACTCCATAAGCTTCTGAGATGGGAAGATCTTTACAGTGCCACCAACATAACCCAAAATCTCCAATAAACTGAAATATATGCATTAGTGTGCGAGGTTTAAATCTGAAAGAGCCTCCTTGCCACAGCTCCATAGGGATCTTCTTTACTTCCTGCAAGCACAAGAGTAACATACACTGTAATTAAACAGAACCATCATCTTCTGAGCCTGTTGTCTTCTTATTGGGATGTTACAGTGGCTTTAACCCATGTCTTCCTCTCCCACCCATCATCCATAGCTATTGTAGGAAATCAACTCATGCATGTTTCCATTTCCTAAAGCGATATCTGCCTTCAACCCCAAAAGGCCACTAGATAGGGAAACCCTTGGAGGCTAAGGGGTAGAAAAAGCTGGGATTAGCTGTTATTTTCTCTTGGAAAGGAGTTATCTCATCCTAAGCCACATGACTACAGTGTCAGAAGCTGTTAGCGCTTGCATGTTCTGCAATTCCCTATGGGAAGTTATTATTTCTTGGTGCAACATAAGCTCCTGAGCAACATCCAGAATTAGTTGGGAAGAGGAGGCAGAGTACCACCTAACAGCATTTTTGGGAGGAGGTGAAGAGCGTGACTGCAGAGCTGATTACCCTCAGAGCGCAGGGCACCGGGATAGAATTCCCAAGCAAGCCTATTGCTGCTGTTCTTGCTGACAACGATGAATTTTCCTACTAGCCAAATGCAAATGAAATTGCTCTAATGAAAAGCAAATACAGAGGCTGTGCACTGCTAACACTAAGCCTCCGGATAGGTTGTCCTAAAAATAAAATCTCTGCACAGTCATTACAGAATCTCTTGCCTCTTAAAGAGAAAAATCCTCCTAAACTCCCAGGCATTTTAGCATCTTCCTCCAGAATCTGCTGCCCGATGTTTCGATCTCATCCCCACTCATTGCAGCCCCTGGTTTAAAACACTTTGTGTGACTTGCACGCTCAGGGATGTGTGGGCAGAGGGGAGGTGGCAGAGGCGCCAGGCCTCCAGGCTCCTTTTAGTCAAGACTTGCAATTACATCTTGGCTGAATGAAGCTTCTCTCTGTGCCAAGTCTCAGCTGAGGCCAAGGATGGTGAGTGGTGGCTCCTCCAGCCCCGTTCCTCCTGATGACAGGGCACAAGCCTGTGCCAGCCCCCCAGGGAAGGGACATCCCAGGTTTTCCAGGCATTACAGTTCAAAGCAATATTCCCATTATTATCCCTTCAGAAGCACAGGGCAGGAAGCCAGACCCTCACACTCTCCTCCATGCTTTCCCAGTCACAGTTGGAAAGGGTTTTCTCTGTGAACTCCCCTTCTCCCTCAGTTCTGCTGGCATTTATAGCAATGCCCTTTTTCCAAAGCTGTGTGGCAAAACTTACGCTGTATCCCAAGGGATAGGAGCGGTGTGTGCAGAAGGAAATCAAATTCGAGCCTACAGCCTGTAGTCTCAGGCTAATAAATGATTTTGTGACATTTACTGGAATAAGAAAGGAATAGGGGAAAGCAAGAGTATAGAGAATGCTGATTATCAGCTACCGAAGAGGAACAGGCTTGATGGCACTGGAGGCATTCGAATGTTCAGGGCTCAGACACAGTAATTCCCATCACAAGTACAAACTCAAGGTATTTTCCTCACCAAGCAAACAAAGGAATCCTCATTTCCAGCACTTTTTGCTGCAGTGGATGGCACACAAACATTTGTGTTTGCCATCTCTGGTAATCCCAGGTTGTGAGAGGGAAGAAAAGACTAAAAGTGCTGGGAAGGTTCAGCTGGGATCAGTTTTCCACGTTGTGTGCACAGAGCTGCTGACCCAGCCCTTTCTGGCTCTTTTTCAGGAGCATCTGTGGTTCAGAAAAGGAGCCACAAGTTTTGTATGAAAATCACCAAATCTGGGAGTTCAGAACCATACTCTGGCCTGAAAACGTTCATCTCATTTAACACGATCCTCTAACCAACCCCCATTAATGTGCTGAGCACCCTATACCGGTAACACCAACCTTCCCGAGGCACAACGCATGAGGTACGTTTGTGTGGCCTGGGAAGCCCCATTTTCCAAATAAACCCTATTTTTTTCTCATAACAAATTGTAATAATTAATCTTCAGCTTTAGTTACCAGGATCAACCTCATTACATTAGACTTTACAGTACATAGCAGAAATAGCAGAGAGCCTGGGGGCTGCAGAGGTGGGCAGCGGAGCACTAACGCTGTGTTTGCCACAGGACCTAGCCCAGGGAAGCCCGGATAATCCTTGCTTTCCTCCCCATTGGCAACGTTTTACACTCCAGAGTACATCTTCTGTTGAGCAACTTGGTCATTTGGCTTTGCTGAGGCTGGGCATAGAATCATAGCATGGTTTGGGTTGGATGCATGGTACGGGTTGGATGCATGGTACAGGCTGGATGCATGGTACGGGTTGGATGCATGGTACGGGTTGGATGCATGGTACAGGCTGGATGCATGGTACGGGTTGGATGCATGGTACAGGCTGGATGCATGGTACGGGTTGGATGCATGGTACGTGCATGCCAAAGCTTTGCCTGCTCTGGCAGAATCACTGGAAGTCTTCAGGGTTCCCAGCTCTTGTGTCTTCATCTTTCATTACCACAGACACCAGGTTTTCTCCCTGATCTCCACTACCAGCCCCTGCTCCCCCAGGCAGGATCCCACAACCCTGGGCAGCAGCAGAATGTGCGAGTGGCAGAGATGAGTCCGGTCTCCAGCAGCTAAATCTGAGTTTGAGTTAACATGATTTCTTATTAATTCTTTATGGATTTTATGGCCAGATCATAGAATTCTAGAATGGTTTGGGTTGAAGGGACCTTAAAGCTCATCCAGTTCCAGCCCCATGCCATGGGCAGGGACACCTTCCAGTAGAGCAGGTTCCTCCAAGCCCCATCCAACCTGGCCTTGAACACTGCCAGGGATGGGGCAGCCACAACGCTAGGGAAAAGATGAGGTGATTTGTGCATTGCAGGCTCCAGTTTGGCATCTCCCAGCAGCAAGCATCCTCATCCCAGCCCAGGCTGCTTGCTCTTTCCCATGCCACTGGGTGTGAGACCTCCACCATGGCCCAGGCTGATGGGAATATGTTCTCCCCACCTGCGGAGCCCCAGTCTGGAGGCAGCTCCTAAACCAGCACCATATAAAATAGGAGAGACTATTTTCTTCTTATTTATGCCCCAACACCACCTCCAAAATACGGGCCTGCGTTCCATACTGCAAACATCCCAGCACCACCCATGTGCGTCTGGGTTCAATGAGCTCTGCTTTGCTGAGCATTAATGAACATTGATCCCTGGAGGACATTTTGCTGCCACTAGCAGAAGACACCTTGGTCATTAAAGCAGTTGCTTCTTAATGGGGTCTGAGGAAATGTTTAATGGTTAAAATGCACGCCAGCAGTTTCCTACACCAAGATGTGGAAATGAAACTCATGCACTGCCGTTCACGCTGTTACCACTGGATTCGCTTCCAGGGCTTGTCTAATGAGCAGACATCTCTCCCTCCTGCTGGCCCAGGGACCACAGAAGGTATTATCACATTTCATAAGATATCTGTGGGACTGTGCTACATTTTCTCTTCACAAACTTGCTTAATTACACTGCACCCTCTGGCTTGTGCTGGGCTCTGTTAAATGAAGCTGAACACAGCTCTTGACCCAGCAGCCGCTCCTGCAAGCGGCAGCCAAGCAGATGCCCCGCATCCTTTGTGATTGATCTCACCCCTCCTGCTAAGGCCATTGCTCCTGCAGCTTCAGCAAAGCCTTCGGAAGAGTAATTCAAGGTGTAGCATTGCTTTTGAAAGAAGCTAATTGCAGATCTGCTTGGCTAATTCAGGGGAAGTGACTGTGAGCATCCTTAGTCAATGGTAGGGAGGAGCGATAAATGCCCCTAATCACAATACCGGGGTGGAGCACAGCCCTGCACTTAGGAGCAGATAGAAGTGGAAGCATCGGTATTGTAGAGTATAAATTCTGTGGGGAAAAGTTCTTGTACCTTTTTAGACGTATGATCCAGCATGATACTTGTACATCCTCAAGATACTTGTGGGCTTCATGTGCTGCTGGGCTCTAACAGAGAAAATTCACAACCTACAGTCCTGATGTGACTTACTTGTAAATGCTTCTTCAAGCTGTAAAGTTGCCTGTGCTTCTTTCTGGGGGCTCAATAGGACAGCTTTGTTTCACAAAACCTTTCTCTGATGAAGTTGTTTGCTCCCCTATTATGGTGGGGGAAAGAGATGCTCACTGTGCCTGCAGTCCACATTAAATTCTGAATTGCCCAGTTAATACTGGTTTACCTGAATTTGGCATGAGAAACCCATAGAGATGAAGCAGTTGCTGATGTCAAAGTATCTGCTTGTTTTTAAAGAAAGCCTTATTAAACCCTACCTGCCCAGGTGAAGAGCATGACTTGGGTCCCCGTGATGTCTCCTTGGAAGCACAGTGATGCCAACCCCTCTTCTCCCTTTGCTGCTACACAGAAGACTTCCTAAACCAAAATCCCAGTGGAGTTTGACCCCTTGAGTGTGATGTCAGAACTTAAAAGGTTAACATTAAGTTACCTAAACTGTTTGGTGGACTTGTTTGAATTCTAACAAGGGACAGCAATTTATCTCTGTCTCAGATGGTGACCGGAGAAGTGAATAATGTTTTGTTAGGGCAACAGTCCGTGACGTACTGTTTAGAGCTGCCAAAACAAGATGAAACTGGAGGAAAAGCAATTCTAGGAGGGGGAGATCCTGATCACCAACTTACAGACCACCCACCCCACGTATGTCACCTCCTCAAATGGTCAAGGAAGCAAAAACCTTAACAATTGTAGTGAGCACGCATGTTAACCTACAGGTTAGGCGAGGTTTTGCCAATCATATAGGTGAATAACAATGCATATTTATTAGACGATTGAATATGTTAATGTTTGGCATGTGCATAACTGATTTGAGAAGCACTGGTGTGCTAGCTTGGTGGAACTACCCACCCAGCACACATCTCTGCAGGCATGAAAGGAATAAATGCCTTGACCTGTGTGGTTTTTGCCTTGCGTGCTGAGTGAAAGAAGAACCCAGGTTTGGGACTGCAAGTGGTACCACACCGTTGTGTTTCAGACGGTGAATTTGCTGCTCTAAAAGCCAGCCTGAGCCCCCGACAAAGGGCACCGAAGTGTTCTCTTGCTAAAGAAGGAAACAAACCCCTGTGAAATTAGCTCCCATTTCTCATCCGATTACAAGGCAGTCACAGAGATAACTCCAGATTAAATAAACACATCTGCATACAAATTGCTCCAAATAGCTTTGGATGATTCCCATGACCTGAGAGAGAGGTTCAGCTGGAAGCAAAGGAATAGTTCCTACTGAAGTTTACTTCGCTCTGGAGCTGGTGCTCAGGTGGGTTCTTCCCTGGGAATGGCAAGGCTGACGTGGAGGCACCTGCTAGGAATGTTAAGCAGCCTCCTGTACACATGAACTGGAGCAGCAGGAGCATGTAATCGATAGTGAATATTCCACAACATCTCACTGCAGAGATAATTTAAATGCAAGCATTTGAAATGGTGTGCTAGGAACTAGAATATTTACAGGCTTTCAGTTCATTTTCATTCTCTTTTCTGCCCTTGTATCACAGAACATATGACTGTGAAAGCTACAAAGATCTTCTCCTCTGGGACTCAGAGTGCTTGGTTTATAACTGCATTCTCAGGACGTTGCCTACTCCTTCCAAACACTTGCTCCTTGACTAAAGCAGCTATGTATTCCACGTAGCATTCTTCTTGTCATGAGAAGGTGGAGTTAGCTTCGTAAGGACAGACTCGAGCAGATTCCCCTGGTGATATCTTGCATGGGAGCGATTTAAAATGGGGGGAAGTTTCAAAAATCACTGCAAAAGCACATTAATGTGACCGTGGGGACACATGCTCATGCAAATCTGATATGCCCTCCTAGGAACATGAGATTATGAAGCATTTGAATGAGTTAGGAGTCAAGTATTAGCAATGTAGACAATAACTCAGGAATAGGTATTTAGATGCTACAAAAGAATGAAGCTATATCAGACCCCACTGCTAACAAATGTATCTACCTTCACGTAAAGCTGGTTTTGCCTTTGCTCAGTTTAAACCTCAGCTTAGATGTTTGGGAGAAGCAGGGAGGGAGGAAAGCATCATTGCACAGCCACCTATTATGGGCTGAAAACTGTCCTGTGTCTGAGAACAAGCTCCATTTGTGTTCAGCTATGGTTATGGTGATCCTAAATATATCCTCTTCCCATAGAGATTAGTGTCTTAATTATAGGTGGTGTTGCAGCCTTGGTTTACAGCTCGGGAGGTAGAGTTCAGCTGCTGTAAATTCCAGGAACTCCACTGACTTTAGTGCCCACTGAGTGCCAGTGCCTGACTGGATGTGCTGTTTATCTCGTTATCGGTCAACAAGAAGCTTTTGCCATGAAATCCTTGCATACCTGAACACGCATCCTCAGCTGGGAGGAAAAGCCCTGTCGCTGCAGGACCAGAGTTAACTGCTGTGGGGAACAGCTCCCTTGCAGAAAGGAGAACTGCTTCGGAGAGGAGGCAAACAGAAAACAGTGAATGCTGTTGTTGTTGTTCTTGTTAGGGAATTAATCCTTCCTTAGCTGAAGGAATAATTATCAGAGGCAATTCAGCTCCATGCCAGCCACCAGGACCCCAGCCTGGGTTGCCCATCACCCTGCCATGGAATGGGGGGATCATTCCCAGGGCAAAGCTGCTTTGTTTTGTGAACCACGTTCCTCTGCTGCTTCAACACGTGTTTATTTCCCGTTTGTTTAAAGTCTGCCTTTTATTTACTCAGACAGGATGTGAGTTGTGACAGTTTTATAGCATTGATTACCCTGCCTGTCTGGTTCGCCTGGCTGCAGGCAGTAATTGCAATGCCTCTGCCCTTAAAGCTGCCCAGCCTTGTGCCAGACACATTGCTGATGGCTTTGCTTCTCTGTTTGTCTCCTGCAGCTTGTGCTGCCCATGCTGCATCCATCCCTCCCCGTCCTGCTTCCATGCCTGAAGCTTGGGGTATAAACTCATTACCAGGTGTGGTGGGAGCCCACCACCCTTAGAAACTGCCTGTTGCTCTCAAGCATCATCTCAAAACCAGTATCCCCATCTGTTACCCTCATGTGAGGTTTGGAGGGTGGGATCTGGTGAGTTTGGTACTTAGTGCCAAGGGTTTGAGCTCCTGTGCAGGCAGTGCATCCTGCACTGTGCTGGGGGCTTCTCTGTGCCCCAAGTACTGGGTTTGGAGCTGGCACATGCTTGGATCCATCACCAAAACTGTGCTGAGGAGCATCACATCTTAGTGTTCCTGGTGAAAATAACTGCCCTTTTGTGGTCAAAGGGTCTTTAATTACCTGATCACGTATTGCTGGGCTACATTATGTGCATTAACAGGGTCTAATGGTGCATGAGGTACAAAGGATGGGCTGAAGCACAGTCTCCCCCATTAATGCAGGTGTGAGGCTCCAGCCACACTCGACACATCACTATTAATATAAGAAGAAATCCCTATCAGAGTAGATAATGATCTCCTGCTAATCACAGGCACTGTTGGCCTGTGGATTCTTAAGATAATTGTCTCCATAATTAATGGTAGATCAGATACTGGTATTACTCTCCTTGTCCAATCGATTAGAGGAAGGATGTTACCTCCAGGTGATGGGGACCATTCATCCATATTCCACAAAGAGGAGAAATAGGGGAAAACCTGCAAAAGCCTCCTCTGGAGAGAGGGAACGAACCCCTCAAGGGGCTCGAGCAAAGAGCTTGGGCCAGTATTTAGTCTCTTTTCTCCTCCAAGAAATACAACATTGCTGACAGCAATCTCCTTTTTCGACACAGAGAAATTAAACCAAAATGCTAATTGCACTAGCTGGGGTTCAGAATCATTTGTACTGCCGGCAAAGGGGCTCCTGATTGCATTATTAGTTATCTAGCTATTGATTCTAAGATATTAAAAGCGAAGCTGACAGACCCACAAGCTCTGGAGCAGCATTTGTTCTAATGAAAACAGTGCTCAGCCTGTTTCTGCAAGAACGTCCAAGCTAATGCATGAAAATCAGAGCGGTTGTGAATAAACCTGCAATGACGAATGGCCCGGGTTTAAATTAGGAAACACTGAGTCAGTGTAAGCAGGGCTGGGGTTCCACTGCATCAGGAGAAATTAATGCCGTTCCCTTTCATCTGGAGAGAGAAAAAGCTTCAATGAGAAGGAAGGAATTGCTTCAAGTGAAAGCGCAACACCAATTAGTGTCTGTGCATCCTCTGCTTTGTGGCTGGATGGGGAGCAGGTGCCACAGTCGGATTCCCTCTGTGCATGGGCAGCCTTTGAAGGAAGACTTTGTGTGTGTGTCCCTTTGAAATGCAGCAAAACACTTTGCTGAACGCTTTCATTTGCACTTAGTTTGCTGCCTGCGTGTCCGAGGCACTTCTTGTTTTCACGGGATGTAGTGGTTTGATCCAAAATTCCAAGTGTTGTAGGGGAAGGAACTTTGCGTTGGTTTAGACGGTGCGGAACACCTTCCCATAGAGCTATTGCCACCCTTTGTGCTGCTTTCTTCTACCTTACCTACACCAGCCTGGCTAAGGCTGCAGCCTGGGACGGTGAAACTTCTGGGTGGTTTATCACTGTTTAACACAAGCTTTAAGGACCCAAAAGAGGGAAGGAAGCTAAGACTGAATGATGTGAAAGCCATGCTCTGACTCAGGGCAGAGGCCAGATCGATGCCTCTATCCCACTCAGCTGGCTCCTGCAAGTGGCATGGATGGAAGCAGAGGTTGCAGATGCAAAAGGGTTCCAGTGAGGGTGGGATTGGGGGTTAGCAGCAGTTCTCAGCCCTGCTGCTTGTCCTTGGGTATGTGTGGCTGTCAGCACCTCATGCTCAGGCGTACACCCCTATGAATGCTATAATGTGGAGCTCAACTTGGGCTTCATGCACCAGCCACTGACTAAATATGGCATGATAAGAGCTCACAAACCAGGTTTTCTCATGGTTTTACAGCGTTCAGCAGAGCTGCCCAGCTCCACACAGCTCCTCAGAGGAGAAGAACTCAGGCTCTTTTCTACCCAATGCTCTAGACCTGGCCCTTCACAAACCTCGCTCCAAGATAAAGCATTTCCCATTCTGGTTGCACCTCCTGATGTCATCTGTTACCAACCTCTCCCACCTCCCCTCAGCCTGCAGACAGTCGTTTTACATGTGGTGCCTGGCAGCATACGTGGCTACTGTAAATGAACCCAGTGACATTCTGCTGCAGATTAAAGTGACAAATTGAAGTCGCATTCCTAGCTTCATTTCAGGGCAGCACAATTCATCGGTGCCATCTGTCTTTGTCCTCTTTAAATGGCAGCTCTTCGGGAGTGATTGGCAAGTGAAGAGGTTTCCTGCCACCAAGTTTTGAGGTCAATCCATCACATGTCTATTAATGACGAAGAGCTGCAGTGGGAAATTGCATTACTTCAATGAGCTACGC